CTGTGGTTAACGCAAGCTTACGATATGTTCACATTTTGTTCTAAGACATAAAATACAACAGCAACAACGTTAAAGTCCTTATCTTACATTAAAAACTGTTTTTGGCAGTTGATTTCTGGGGGGTGTATGCAACAGATAGTCAATGTATGTTTNAAAAGAGTCAAGGGAAGCTTATAAAAGTTAACAGCATTTAATTACACAAAAGATGCGGTGGTGTACAAAATGAAATGTGCGAGTGGAGGCGCTCTCCACTGTGGAGAGCGCCTCCACTCGCACATTTCATTTTGTACACCACCGCATCTTTTGTGTAATTAAATGCTGTTAACTTTTATAAGCTTCCCTTGACTCTTTTCAGTCTCTCCTGCCTTCAGGGTTCTAGAATTGCTTTCAACTTTAACGTTGTTGCTGTTGTATTTTATGTCTTAGAACAAAATGTGAACATATCGTAAGCTTGCGTTAACCACAGATGGTAATTCAGTCTTCTAACCACAAACACTCACAAAATACTATTGACTTCAGGACGAGGGAACTTGAAGTGCTAAAATGCAATTTTTTCCGGGTTTTAGGACTCATTACTGCATCACTCTAACATTTCCCAGTGTAGCTAAAAGGTAGGGTGGGTAGACCTGGCAGATCTTTGGGGTGCTCGACCCTGGCCCTTGAATAGCCATCTACTTGTAAAACTGGAGCGGAGAAAAGTGTGATGAGGTTTGCATTGATTTTGACATCTCCAATGATTAAAAAATGACTTTGTAGGCTGTGCTAAAGAATAAGGGAGAGGAGGTGTACTGCTGTATTGTTCCGAAAAATTATTTTACGAAGTTGATGGGTTAGGGTTAGGGATGGGGTTATTATTATACTTGTGGTAATGATGAGACATCATAAGGTGAGGAATAATGAATGCATACAACGAGCTGTAAGTGCTTGTTCCACCCTGAGAGCTGAGAATAAGCTCTGAGCAGTTAACTAGGTTCAGCCACACTGACATCAACGCTCTGGGACTCAAACACAAAGGAGGGATAAACTGCTAATCAATACCGAAAGAAAAGTGTTTTGTGCTTAATTTATTGCTCTGGCTTCTATATAGTCAGCGTGTTATTTTAACAGTGTCAAAAAGCAACATTACTCATTAGAAAAGGGGAAGTATTTATTTCAGCAGCAGAGTAGGATTTGGCAGGCGCAGAGGTGTAATATGCCTTAAGTTCTGAAGAGAGCAAAATGCAAATGCTACATTAAGAAAGCCCATGTTCTCTGCTCATTACTGTTGGACGCTGGCACACTGCAAAGCCTCCTGGCCAACAACGTTACAGCATCACTTAATTGAAATAATTCTGCAGAAAAAAACTAAAAGAAGACCTTGACTTACATTAGCTTCACACTTCAGAGGATGACATTCAAACTTTACCAATGAGAGATTAGGAGCTGGAGCATCCTCAGAGCTGCAGGTGCTGGAGCAGTTATTTTCAGACTAGAATTAATTTTCCCCCGCATTTCTAATGATTATCACATACTCTCTTGTTTGGGATGTTTCCTGCTGTGTTCTGCCCTACCAGCGGAGGACTGATATCGCTGCTTCAGTTGGAGAAAGTATGTGTTACACTTTTGGGAAACCTCCATATTTTAACATATCGAAACAGATGAGTTCTTCAGTGGATTTGAAATTGGTTGACTACAATGTGTGTGTGGCTATTAATGTGTTGAAAGAAAATGTAATACTTCAAGGGAGGGCTGTCCCGAATACCATTTTTCGGGTTCCGGAAATATTCTGTAGTACTCAGCAGCGAATATTCAAATATTCATTGTGTTATTCTCCAGTATTGTTGTTTTATAGTTATTTGTTAATGTCTATAACGCAATTTGTGTTCTTTGAAATTGAAAAGGATATTGCATTGCGTTTGTTACTTCCGTTGCAGTTGTATATGTCTTAAGTGTAATTTGGTTGGCTTCCTATTTTGTATGGTCGTGCTTTTATTTTGAAGGAGAGTTAGCGCTGTTGACAGGAAGTTGTTGTTGCTATGGAAATAACGTGACGGAGATTAACGGAGAAAAAGTATCTACATATAAAGACGGAGAAAGTAAACGATAACGTGTATGGTTAAGTGTTAGCACCCCCGAAGAGGCACAAGCTCTTACGTTGATATTGGAGATTTCAATCAATTCAATTTAAAAAACGAAAAGAAAAAAAAACGAATATCCAAATAACGAAATTGAAACCCGAATAGTACTCCAACGAACGAATATTCGAATATTTGGATATTCGGGCAAAGCCCTACCTCATGGTTTGCTTTGTCTTTGTAAACTAAAAAGAACCACTTAAAATATCAGTAATAATCCTTTCCCCAGTATTTCGATGAGGCCAAGAAATTGAAAAAACTGTTAGATATAGTATTTTGACCAATCAGGCTGGTAAATACCTCGTAATGCCAGATAAACAATATGTGTTCAGGAGTGTTTAGGGAATTCTTGGTCCTAGTATAAGCTGATGAATTACAGCTCTAAACCGTTACAAAAGATAGTAAACCTTTGAGATCTTGGGTAATGGGCAAAACATTTTCTTTCTTGTTGAGTATGATGAGAACATTGATACTTAGGTCGAATAATATGAAGCAACAGTCATCAGTCCGTTAGCTTAGCTCAGCAAAAACTCTGGGAGCAGGGGGAAACATCTGGCCTGCCTCCGTCTTGTTGTCACAGTGGGGTTACCAAATAGTAGAGAATCCAGGAAATGACTGTTCTCAACTCAATAAGCAAATGGTATATAACATGTTAATTAGTGAGGTTTACAGGTGGTGGAAGATTGATTTTGTTAATTTACGACGGAGCTGTCACTTCCTGTTTCCATTATTTCCAGTAAGCTAAGCTTTGCTAGGCTAAACTAACCCATGCTAAGCTAACAGATTTAGCGTTCAGTCATGAGAGGTATAAATCTTGTCATCTATCTCTCGGCATGACAGCTAAAATGTGTTTGTCACAATTCCTTTAACATTAAGGTTTGTGATGCCATTAAACAAAGCGTCTCCGGTTCGGCTGCCAACAANACGTAGTACGTACGTCGTCGTACGTACGTACGTACGTACGTACGTAAGTACGTACGTACGTAGTACGTAGTAAGTAGTAAGTAGTAGTAGGAGAGAGATAGTAGAGAGAGTGTGTGTGTGTGTGTGTGTGTGTGTGTGTGTGTGTGTGTGTGTGTGTGTGTGTGTGTGTGTGTGTGTGTGTGTGTGTGTGTGTGTGTGTGTGTGTGTGTGTGTGTGTGTGTGTGTGTGTGTGTGTGTGTGTGTGTGTGTGTCTCACCTTGACATTAATAATGTATCCGGCTGCATTCCATTACGATCTGCAGGAACTTGGGCTTCATATGTCCAGACTCAAAACACAAAACACAGAGGACACCAACATGAGAAAAGGCTCTGCCATCTGACATTTTCTTTACAGTAGGAATGACTTCAGTAAATTGAAATATCCTAATGTGTTTTGGGATTATTTGATCACATCTGTGGGGGTCCAGACTCACAGCAATAATTATGGCAACAAGCTTTGATGAAATTATAATAATGTATTTTTTTTTATTCCAGGCAAATTGATAATATAATTAGACAAAATGACCTCTTATGACAAATATCATTAGTGTTTGACTAACACGTGAAATTGAATGAAAGCCATAATACACACACAAGAGGTTAATATTCTCAGCATCTTAAAGATAAAATAAATGCTTATTATTCTCCGTTCTTTCTTTACTCTTTATGTTTGAATGTCAGAGGTCACGCTTTACAATAAAATCTGGCACCATCTTGATCGTTGAAATTACTCTTTGATGGTAATTTCTCTTATCTTCCTTTTTCTTTATGGGTTATTAAAGCCAGAGGTATTCATTATATCTGACCTGCCAATCTAATTCATTCAACTGAGGACACATTGTGATTAAAGCAACCTCAATTCATCAGCCATTCATCAAGATTGTACAGTACGTAATGTCCCTTTTCATAAACGCATGGCTGTAATGTGCCGGAAAGCGCCTAAAATCTGTTATGAAAAGCACAGATGTGTTTTATCCTATCAGTTACATCTTACTCTGTATGCTACATTGATTTATTCCCCACTAAGCATAAGGCCATCAATTCGCAGCATATGACATTACGGCTCGTTCAAAGCTGTCTAGGGAGAAATTATCATTCCTTCGATGATGTCGATGAGTTAAGCCCATAGAACAGATGCACGCCTGATGTTGAATTCAAAGCACAATGAAATATTTCACATCAAAGCGCAGCGGGCTCTCCGGAGACAAACTGCTGAAGGTACAGAGCAGCGTTCTGCGGATTCTGGAAATCTTGTATAATACAGAGGATTCAATTAAACAGGGATTTTAATTACACATTGTCCAAGCTGTGTTTCTAATCATCGTCTGAAAATCCTGCCACATTCAGAAGAATAAAACTATTATGTTTGAGTTGTCGTGTGGAAACTCCAGTAAAATGTCATATTAAATCACTCTATTTCCAGTGTATCTTGTAAAAATACAATAGGCTTTATATGCCTACACAAATATACTATGACCAGTTCAAATCTACTATTTTTTGCTATTCCTCCTCAACATGATGGGAGACAGGAGCTCTCACACCTATAAGGCAATTATAACGTATTAATACACGGCTTAGTTGAATACTCTATTCTGATTGGTCAATTTGGACAGAGGTTGTTAATTTCATTCATTAACAGACCACTGCTAAGGAGAACAGACCGTTGCTAAGGAGAACAGACTGTTGCTAAGGAGGATCAAGGGATTATTTGCAGTCATATCAATCCACAGAAAGAAGTCCGGTAAACTTAAAGTGCACCTATCATGCTATATTTGAATAATATATTGTAGGGCCATACCTATATAAAACATGTCTGTGAAGTTTTTTTTTCAAAATACCAAACAGATCATGCATTT